GAGGCCGGGGGAAGGTCAAGGGGAAAAAAAAGGAGACATATGTACTACTCTTTGTAATACTTTAAGCAATAAAACAAAATTAAAAAGAAAAAGAATCAAGAGCTGTTTCTCGAATAAGAGGCTAAGCTTGACCCTAGGAGACTCCTCCGGGGGCGGGAACGGCTGCGAGAGGGTCCCTTTAAGCAATAAAACAAAATTTAAAAAAAAAGAATCAAGAGCTGTTTCTCGCATAAGAGGCTAAGCTTGACCCTGGGAGACTCCTCCGGGGGCGGGAACGGATGCGAGAGGGTCCTTGTGCAGCGCCTCTCGAATCTCAGTCCCTGGACCTGCTGGGTTTAGCCGTGCAGAGCATTGAACTTGGGGGGTATCTTCCACATGCAGGATCCTAGTCTGATTTGTGTGGTCAGTTTTACCTTGTTTTTCTAACTGTGACTCTAAGCCCTTCACAGGGTGGGAAAATAATGAGATGTAGTGACCGGTCCCTTAGTCCATTTCTTGGGTCAGAGTGGTGAATAGGCCCAGGGAGAAGGTAGTGTGGTGCAGTGGGAAGAGCACAGTACTGGGCGTCAGGTGTCTGTATGGGGCCCAGCTTTGCAAGTGCCGTGATTGGCTACATGACCTGAGCTTGTTTCTGCATCCCCCCTGGCTTCAGCTTTCCCTTTTACTGGGCAGGAGCCTGGTGAGGAGGATTCTGAGGTCCCCGTCAGCGCAGTGCGGTGGCCGTGGGAGGGTGAGGGGAGAGACTACAGTAGGGAGGTAAAGGTGGCCACGGAGCCAAGACGTTGGAGGAGAACCTGGGGAAGCTAAGGAGGTGGGAGGAGGGGGATGCCAAGGAGGGGTAGGAGGCTTTAATTTCCGTGAGGAATTGGTAAGAAAGACAGTGTTGGTGGCACTGATAATGGATGCTCCCCTGTCTTATATAGAATTCGATCACCCTCTCTCTCTTTGTAAAATTGGATTAATTGGGCGGATTTGACACAGCTTGCTCAAGTTTCTCCTTCTGTTTTCTTCATAATTAGGTTAAAATGGTGCTATTTCTTTGAAGATTTCAAAGAATTCTTTTTGTCATTAAAAATGGCCCTGCCAAATAAGCAGAGGTAATTATCTCTATAAAGTGAAGATAGGACGATGCCAGGTGCTTGAGCAGTTTATTCAGGAAAGCAGTATTCCAGCCTTTTCTCGTAGGCTCCTCTGCTCTGGGGTGCGTGTGGGCATCTGGCAGATATATTATTTAGGTCACTGGTGTTTGGCACCAAGTAGCAGGAGTGATAATATGTCTCAGGGTTCGGCGGCTTCCATCCTCCTGAGTTCAGATTGGGGATGGATCCAAAGCTTACTGCCCTAGTCTGTGTCTTTACTCAGTAACTTGAATTCTGTCTCTCATAAATGACATTATACAATGAAGGAGCTATCTGCACCCCTGGGAACAGAATTCCGAGCTTCCCTTTTGTTTGTGTGTGGAGCCTGCATGGAGTGCCATTCCTGCAGTGATACAATTCATAACGTTGCCGTTGGATTCCCTGAGTCCTGTATTGGCAAATAGGGTGTCAGCTGCATTGTCACTGCTGGGCAGTCTCAGCTTTGGGAGGAGGGGAGCATGTCACTTGATAGTCAGAAATACGTTTTATTAATTTTATAAGTAGACAGATGTCTTCCATCACAGCTGCCTGTAATTTCAAGGACACCCCTCCTTTTCACAGAAGGGGAGACCGGGGCATATGATCCAAGGTGAGATGTAGGGAGAGTGCAGGAGAAACTTCATTCATCGCGTTGCTTCCTAATTCCTCCCAGTGCACTGCACGTGGGACATGGCGCTGCTTTGCATGGTGCTGCCGTTTCTCTCAGTGGAATTAAACCTCTAGGAACTAGTTTCCCTCTGTTCACAAGAGCATTTGTTTGCACACCACTTTGGCTCATAGTTCCTCCCACTTCTCAAGAAGGATGGGCATGCATGTGGAGAGATTGGATGATAGTAATTTTCATAGCTTAAGTGATCATTTTATCTCTAGGAACAAATGGAGCCGCATGATATACAAGCTACCGTGGAATATGTGCCCTGCGTGGTATTGGTTGCTTTTAAGGCCCATCATGTCTCCTTAGGGCTTCTTGCCTCTCCCGCTCTGTCCATGTCCCCTGTGGGAGTGCAGAGGCAGCCTTGTGCTGGACAGCGGAACAGTGGTCGCTGCCATTCTCTTCTGCCCTTCAGGTGGCAAGCACCGTGACTTGGAGGGAAGGAGTTAGACAGGTGGTATTCTTAAATAGGGTCACAGAGTTTTTGGTTTATTCGAATGTTCTTACTTGGGGATATTCAAATTCAGAAAAGGGGTTTGCTTGCTGGAGAGGCCCTAAGGAGAAGGAAGGGTTGACTCTATATTACATCTTCACTCACCGCCAAACCCCGTCATACTTAGATGATGGGCAGTTTTGGATTTCTGACACAGATGTGGAGAATTTTCCGAGTTAAAAATAAAACCCTCATTGGTCACTTTTTTAGATGATATTAGGGAATCAGCTCATTATTTCGAATACTGGTGAACAAAGGGAAAGAATCAAGTATTTTCCTTGCTTCCCTTTATGAATTGTATCTCAGGTTAGCCGAGTATCTGATGAGAGAGTTTCTCTCTCTCTCTCTCTCTCTCTCTCTCTCTCTCTCTCACTAAAGAACATTTATTTGTTTTTCACTAAGACTTTATCTTAGCACATAATTAAACTGTGTTACTACCCTCACCCCAACTTGAAGAAGGGTTAGTACAGTGAATGTTATAAAGCAGATATGAAGGATTGGAATCAACATTAACTGACAAAGGAAAACTTCTAAGTCATCATAACAATGTTTAAGGAAAAAAAGAGAAAAAAAGGGGGTGATGGGAGTTCAGATTGAACAAGATCCTCACATACCATCTAACACATTCAACCCTGGCTAGAGTGTACCAAAATGGAAACAGGATTACTATAATACAAAACTTCACTACAGACAGCTGTACACACCTGTGTTCCAAGCCCACCTCCAACCCCCAAATGCTTCCAACACAACTATTTCCCGGCCTGTTGGGCCTGTCGACGAAGGAGCACGTAGATCTTCTCTTTAGTCCAATCTTTGTTATAAGGCTGGTATGTCTGGGTATCAGCTCGGTAGACAAGACAGCTGAGGTCCGCCAGATCATCAATAAAATCAAACAACTGGTTGATATCATATGTGATAGAGGGGCTGTTGAGATTCATTCTCTTCAGATGTTCTTCATACATTTTACAAACGCCTTCCATGCACTCATTCACTGATCCATAATCAGCATAAGTTGTGCCTTCTGGTCTCTTGGTAGGCTGTACCAGCAAAATGGTGTGAGACATTGCGCCAAACTCTTTCGCTCACACCGCCACACATGAGCTTAACCACATCGCCGCCAACAGCCAACCCCCTGCGAGAGGAGCCACCGGAAGTCGTCGAGAGAGTCTCTCTTTAGAGAAATAATCTAGCTAACAAATGAGGAAAATTTCAGAAAGTCAAAATTCATTATTTTGCAACTCCTGATGAGTTCATGGATCTGAGCGGTAAGCCTCACTGGCTGCCGGCACCACACACAGACAACCTGGGATGGCGTGTCTCCTGGCGAGAAGCCAGCCTCTGAGATATTCTTGCCAAAATTTCACACTGTAACCTGATCCGGCCTCGTTCTCTGTCTACCAGTTACCAGCAAGTACAGAGGCCAAGGGAACAGTGTGAATTACACGTTATGGAGATAATAATTTTAAAAATCTATTGTTGACTGGACAACAGTACAGGACAAATCACTTCATTTCAATGACAAAAAAAAAAACAACTGAAGAAAAAAGAGATGGGGAGGGAAATCTGTACATTAAAAGGATTTAAGAGATCTATCAATTAATCCTAACGCCTGGACCTTCTTTGTATTGTGGTTACTTTGTGTAATCTGTAAACTCTTACAGTTTATAATACAGTTAGAGGAAAGATTTACTACCTGAATATTTGATGACATTAAGGAATCCTTGTTAATATATTTAAGGGATTATGACATTTTTTAAAATAAAAATGAGCCCTGTAAGTATTGGCAGATGAAATGATATGATGTCTGGGATTAGCGTCAACATAATGCAGGAAGGTGAATAATACAGGGTGTAAGGGAAGAGAGATTGGCCATCATTACTAGAGCTGGAAGGTGGGCACATGTGGGTATTCTCTCTACTTATGTGTATGTTTGAAATAACCTGTCATAGCATGTTTCCCAAAGAGGATTTTAGGTAAAGATGTGCACTACGGCTCTGGGTACAACGAAAAGGAATTGGGAGAGGAGGAAAGCGCCGTCAAGTCCTTAGTGCCAGACCTGATGTGTTCCATAGTGAGTGCTTATTGACTGTTTCCAAGTCCTGCATGCACCCACTCACGGGTCTATGCCAGCGGTTCTCAACCTGTGGGTCGCGACCCCTTTGGGGGTCGAACGACCCTTTCACAGGGGTCGCCTAAGACCATCGGAAAACACATATATAATTACATATTGTTTTTGTGATTAATCACTATGCTTTCATTATGTTCAATTTGTAACAATGAAAATACATCCTGCATATCAGATATTTACATTACGATTCATAACAGTAGCAACATTACGGTTATGAAGTAGCAACGAAAATAATTTTATGGTTGGGGGTCACCACAACATGAGGAACTGTACTAAAGGGTCGTGGCATTAGGAAGGTTGAAAACCACTGGTCTATGCGATCATTCGTTTGCTTATTTTAGTGAACATTTATGGGTACGCATGACAAGCACCAAAATGCTTCCATAAACCAAGTAACACAAGTAGAGCCCGTCACACCCAGTGATGTTTTTGGCCCGTACTCCTCTATGGCGTCTCTGAACTGTATACAAATATTTGCAAGACCAGGGGGCTGACAGCGGTCCTGTGTGGTCTCCTTCCTGGATTCACTCAAGTTTAGTCTTTAATATTCTTCTCAGGGGAGCTCTAACCATCTGCTGGGGCTTCACCTTCCGTTCCAATCATCCAGCTCTTAAAGGTCGCAGGTGCCACCTGCTTGGTTCCAGAAGGACCATCTCTGATCGCTGGCACGGGCCGTCCACGTGACTGCCAGTTGAACAGGAGCCACAGCTTCCTGGTTGAGCTCCTGTGGGGAAGCTCCCGCCCCCTGCCATCTCACCTTCCGAACTGTTGTTACACTCGGGAAGATTTTCCAATTACGACATCTAATTACAAGGAAGAATAAATTACTGAAGCAAGTTAAATTATCCTGTGTGTCATAACAGTAATTAACATTCAAATAGGAAACTGCTGCCATTTTTATAAACATCACTAAGTAGAGGCAGCGTCCCCTCTGACAGCAGGCGGCAGGAGGGCGCTCTCTCCCTAACCCTGCCATGGGAGGGTCTGCGTGTTTAGAAAATCTGCGTGAGACTGATGTCAGCGGAGAGACTGACCTTGAATTGCCTCATTTTCATCTAAGTCTTTAGAAATAAAACAACTTTCTATCCATTTACACCATCATCTACTTTCTCCTCAGGGCCCTACATGTTTTTGTTTTACATTTTCTTCCATATTTTAAGAAGGTTTGGGCACCAGTCTGCTCACAAAACATTTTGTGGACTAGACTTGACTTGGAAAGCAGCTCGCAGCCTTTTCAGAGCCCACTTTTCAAGAATCCCATGTCATTCCTGCCCTTTCATGCTCTTCTGCCAGGAACGATTCCTCTCCTCTGTGGTCTTGATTTCACGTTGTGCTTTTGAGCTCCGTTATAGAGTGAACGCACCTGCCTTTCTCAATGCAGTTGCTAGCCTAGAATTTTCATATATAGTGTTTAGTAGTTTTTTAAAAATATATCTTTATTGATTTCAGAGAGAAAGAGAAAGGAAGACAGAGATAGAAACATCAATGATGAGATAGAATCACTGATCAGCTGCCTCCTGCACAACCCCCACTGGGGATCCAGCCCGCAACCCCGAGAATTGAACCATGACCTCCTGGTTCATAGGTCGATGCTCAACCACTGAGCCACGCTGGCTGGGCATAGTATTTAGTAGTTTTTAATGGCAGTGCTGAAGTGATAAACTCAAAGAAGATAGCAGGGAAACCTTAAAATTATACAGTAATTGCATACAGGACTATAAAAAAGGCGTGCAGCTACTTTTGTCCTCCAGTGAGTAGTGTGGCAGTTAAAACTCAACAAGGTTTGGGAAGATGCTTCTAGTCTGCCATTAGCAGTGGGATGATGAATTGTTTTTATTTATTTGGTAGACTACTACTAAATCTAGAATTTATTTAGACAGTTGACATGGCAACTCTGGGTACAACTCTGCCTTTGATAATAATGAGTTGTTACGATTTTTGTTCTTGTTCTTTTTACATTACAGACTCTTAAGTGTGAGTGTTGTGAGTGATAGGATCTGATTTGAGAGAGCAGTGAAATTTTACATTTGCTTGTAACCCAGCAGGTGGTCTTAATACACCCCTAACCCTTTTCTGCTAAAGAGAATAGCACATTAGCAGAGTGTGTGAGGGTTTACTTCACCCTTCTTCTTAACATCACACATAGGTGGCTCTGGTGTTAGGGAAAGATCTGACCAAGTCAGGATTATAAACATAGATGTTTATACCCTCGTGCCAAGTATAAATAATAATGGTTCCTGTAATATTTAAATTGCAAGCCTAAAAAGAAACTAAAAAATTCTCTTCCTTTACATTTAAACAGAAATATATTTCCACCAACTTTGGTTAAATTGAGGCGATTTACACATTATGTTTGTCCCTTACACTTGTGTTCCTTTAGCTCAAGTGGCTGACCTCACCACCTACAGGGAGGAGCCTGCATTTACCAGCATCCTATATAATAAAAGGCCAATATGCAAATTGTCCCCCATGGCCCCTCCCTCCACTTGCCCCCCCCCCCCGCGAGCCAGCTGGCCAACCTCCTGCATCCCCTCCCTCTGGCTGGCCCAGCCCAATCGCCCCCAATCGGGGCAGACCGGCCGGACCCCACCCATGCACAAATTTGTGCACCGGGTCTCTACTCTAGTCTTTGAAAAAAGGCCAATAAAAGTATTATTCTCATTGCTGGACATGCATGTTATTTCTGTTCTAAAGAGCAAAATGCTACTTTTTAGTGACAGTTTCAGTTCAATTTAAACAGTGCTGTTTAAAAAAGTTTTCTCTTTCTGCCAAGGACTCTGAAGAGCCAATATGGCCCCCAAATGTGGTCCCTTTTTGGATCTGGACAGCGATGGGAGGAAGTAAGAATGGCCTTTATACAATGTACTCAGTGTAGTTGAGGGAGGCTGATTACTCATCTCTAATTTTGCAATTTCATGCTTTGTGTCATGTGAGCAGTAAGAAGTACATTGTGGTTTCCAGTGATGGGGTTGTGTTGGGGTCTGGAGGAAGCAATGAATAGGGAAGGCTACTGGAATGGACTAAAAAATTACATCCTTAGTGATTTTGTATAAGATTTTAGACTACCAGACTTGCTTCCCATTACTTGCTGCTTTTGCATAAATATCTATTCTCAAAGGACGGTGCCATATGTAGTCTCTTGGGTCAATACAAATTGCTTTTCATGGAGAACATATTTAAGATAGCAAACTCCTTTGAAATAATTACATATTTTGAAAAAGGGTTTTATTCTGGCTAATTTGCCCGTTTCATTTGCAGTGTGTTTAAAAACCCTCCTCAGTGAAAAATTGGTAATTAGATGATTGACATATTCTCCCACTTGACAATCACACACGCCAGTAAATTGCCCTCTATTTTCCAGAAGTATCTGCAACAAATGTTGCTCAGCAAGATTGTAAGGGGCTAAAGATAGTTTATTTCCACAAACTGAGTGAGTGCTCACCCTGGAATGCCCACCTCCCTGGACGGTTTATAAAGCCTCCGGATCTGTGGTGGGAAGTGAGGTTCCCCTCCAGTAGCTGGATTGATTAGCTAAAGTGCTTTAGCCCCAGGTAGTGAAAGAATTTTAAAGTTTAGGGTACCTCTGTCCTACTGCAAAGATTGCTTATTTAAAAGCATGACTCTTTTTGTTTGTTTAACATATGGGTAATTATTATTCTAAATCTCAAAGACCAAAGCAGTTATTTTACTTGAATGGTACCCTTCTGTCAGGGATACTTATTGTTTGTTTTATCTCATTTATCCGCAAGAACATTCTATGTTTATTACCATAACTTATGGAAACATCATGTTGAAACTTAACTTCAATTTTTTTGGTGCAATAAAGGGATAGTTGTCATGTCACAAAAAACAATAATATATCATTTTGTAAAAAAATTTTATAAATAAAATCATATTTATATCTATATCACCAATATACCTTTTTCTCTTTTTTTAATATATTTTATTGATATTTTACAGAGGGGAAGGGAG